GGGGGCTACACATGAAGGCTGTCTCGCTTATTAGAGAGTCAAATTTTTCCAAATTTCTCATATATAAAAAGCATAGTACGCAGTCTTAAAATTCGCAATAAAACTTGAGAAAAAAGTTTCGTTTCCATGGCTATGGCGACCATATTGGATTTTATTGAATACCGCACTTATTTTTCATGGAAATATATTGTTTTTCGAATGCACGTTAACAAACATAAGATCAACAAATGTATTTGTTGAATTTGTCCTAAACAGAAAAGAAAAAAATTTATGAATTTTTTTCTGATGTCGTATTCAAGTTTGCAAAAAAATCTGTGAAAATCCATACTCCAGATCCAGACACCACCAACAAAAAACTATTCTAGACAAAATTTTAGTATTACATCTTCTTTTCATTCCGTGACAATTTCATGAAGATTGGATGAAAAATGGTGGAATTATTTTAAAAAGTATATGCAAAAACCGCGTTTTGAAGAAAACGGGCGATAAATAAAAATAAAAATATTGACTTTATGAAGAAAAGGTGGTGACAAACATGCCCGATATGGGAAGAAATAAGGCTTTAGAGGGTTCTAATGCTATGAAATAGTTGTAACAGAGGCTGAAGCAGCTAAAAAGGCCTACAACTCAAAACCAATAATTTTTAGCCGAACTGGAGCTTTAGGGGTGCACCCCATCCCCCTCAAGTTGGAAACATTTGTGATCACCGAACTGGGGAGACAGGAAGTTGGGGATGGAGTGAGGGAATGGGTGGGAGAGAGAGAGAGAGAGAGAGAGAGAGAGAGAGTGGGGGGGGGGTTGGGTGTGTAACTGACCCTCAAGAATCTTCACACTCCCAGACAAATTATTCACAGAGGCCATAGTCTTGTCAACAGAAGCTCTTAAAACTGAAGAGCTCGGCGCGTCTACTGACTAGAGACTCCATCATAGTGTTTTGTCTTGTTTTCCTCATTTATCATAAACATTTACTTGTCTGTACCACAGCTGTATTCTCATTTTAAATCTTCATCCTTTTTTGAATATGTTAGCGACTAAATTGAGCTTGCAGTTTGAAACCCGCCATTTTACGACACAAATTCTAACATAAATGTATGAGCATTCAAAAAAACTAGATTTGCTGTAACAAAAAAGGGATCAGACTTGTAAAACTTAAAGTGAATCACACTTATAACTGTATTATAAGACATTTGATACGTGACATATTGAGTTGTCATCGAGCTAACACAAATGCCATAAAATGGTGCTTTGTTTCAAGGTCAGTAAAAGTTCAGGTAGTTATTTTTTAGAACAGATCTCAGTGAACCTATTGCAAGGCTGGTCAAAAACTAGGATGAGCAACACTTTCTCAAAGAATGGAACGAAGTTTGTAATACATTGCATTACATCGCCTTTAGATTTCCTGAAAATGCAACCATTTCTTTGGTTTTGCTCTTGTCTTTAGAAGAAAAACATCACATATCATATGTGACGTAAGGAATTTTATAAGCTTCAAGTGTGCCACCATATTGTCGTGAGAAATGTTTCAGAAAAGAAAACGTTGGACTCTACTTTGATTCGCCTGTGGGCTTCCTTGCTTGTCGGTCATGTTCTCAACCAACGTCTGTTTAGCTTCTAGTGTTTGAGCAGCGAGTCAAGGAAAACAAGTTATTATGTTGTTGTTGTTGTGATTACTGTGGTTTTTGTAGTTGTTGTAGTTGCTGTGGTTGTTAATGCTGCTAGTCCTGCTGCTGCTGATACTGTTGCTGCTGTTCTTTGTTGCTGTTGTTGTTGGTGGTGGTGGTGGTGTTATTGCAGTTATTAATCTGTTTGTTCACAGCAAAGATGTTACCGCCAATCCCAGCCTGCCGTTCTTGGCCTACCCAATCTGGAAACATAGATAATGTTTTGACCAGCCATTGATCGCCTGATCGATGCACACCAGAAGACTAGAGATGTACAGACCTACTGCGGTAACCGGCAACTCTGTTCGCTGTGTAGGCCTACTATTGTTTTGTCAACCCATAAGAGACCTTAACTTCAACACAGTGTTGATTTACAGACCTTTTGACTTCGATCTCTCGGGAGGTAAGAGTTTTGTTTGTTTTGCTTTGGTTTTGGTTTATTTGTTACATCCATCTGTTCTGCAGCTTAAAAACTCACCGTCACAATGGGTGGTCCCTCC